CCTACCTCCCCTCTCCCCATCGAGTTGGGGTGCCAGGGGAGGAAGGTGTCTCAGTTGGGGCAACATAAGTGAGTGAGGCCTTGAACCTCAGTCCTACCTCCCCTCTCCCCATCGAGTTGGGGTGCCAGGGGAGGAAGGTGTCTCAGTTGGGGCAACATAAGTGAGGCTTGGGGGGAGGGGGGCTTGGAAGGGTTTTTTTTTGCATCTCACTTGTGCAAATCTGACTGATTTTTCTGTGGGTCAGTATCTCCGGACCCAAAACACATTCCCCACCCCTCACAAATAAAAACAACACTGAAATGTTTGTGTCGGACATAATATTTTATTTAAAAGTGAAGGTTGACCAATAAGTCCCAATTGGGGCCAAGCCTCCCATCTGGCTGCAGCATCATAACACCCCCGCATCTCCACACCACCCCCAACCCTAAGTTTACCGGAACCCCCTGTCCTGAGCCTCTCACATCCCCAGTCTTCTGCCACAACACTACTGCACCAGCCACACACTGCAAATCTGTGTCCTGAGCCCATCATAGTCCCAACTCCCCCACCCTGAGCCCCTCATACGACCAAACCTGAATTGCACCCTCACATCCACAAGTCTGTTGGTTGCTCAGCACCCCAAGTCTCCACATGACCCCAATACTCTTTGGCCTGGAGCCCCGTCCCTGAACTAGCAGCCCCTTTTCCACCTTCTCCTGCACCCAAATTCCCTCCCAGACTTTGCACCTTTCACCCGTTCCCACACCCAAATCCCTCATTCCCACCCCAGAGCTTGCACTTCCTGTCTCAATCCAGTGAGTGAGTAAGGGCTCGGGACAGCAAATGATGGAGAGGAGGGGAACTGAGAGGGCGGGACCTTAAGAAAGGAGTGGGGTCTTGGGGAATGGATGGGGTGGATCTTGGCTTGCCCTGACATTTAAAAAGTGATCTTGGGTGTAAGAAGTTTGGAGACCACTGTTCTAAATCAACATTTTCTAGAGAGCAACACTGAATAGCTTGTGTCAGAAGAACTACAGCTAGATTTGCTGCAAATACACTGATTTTGTTATTCATTTATATTTTATATATACACAGAAGTGGTTTAAAAAGGAAAAAAGACACAATTAATCCCAATTTAAAACACTTACATTAAAAGCACAGATAAAGAAAAGCTGTAATAAAACTACAGGTTTCAATATTAACAAATGGTTATATTTAACAGGTATTTAAATTGCAGATGAAAGCGTATGTATGAATACATCTGAAATTAAATTTTGGTTTCACATTGGCTATATTATAAAAATTCAGTATTGGAAATCTATAATGATTTTTGGTATTTATATCTGTAAACACTTTGAGGACTTTTTTTTGTTCTGTAAAGAACTACAATCATTTACCATCTTTTAAACAACGGAGACTTGGTGCTCATCACCCCTTGAAAAACATTTCACCGAATATACCTACGTCACTGGATTTTGCATGTCATGCCTTCTTAGTGCTAAATCATGTGACCAGGACAACCCACTCATTCATTATATTGCCTCATCTGAAGATCTTTCTACATATGTAAAGTAGTATTTTTTACTTCTATTCCATGGAAAAATCTGAATCACAGAGAACTTCAGTAACTTCCCCAAATTCACCTAGTATATGGCAGACTTGGGACTAGTTCTTCAGTCTGACTCCCTGGAACCACCTGCCTAAACCATGCTGCATTTAATCACCCTGACATCTGTTGAGAGACCAATACAGCAGTACAGAGACAATCCAGGAAGTTTTTGGAGAATTTTGAGGATAACTTCTTGGTACAAGTGCTGAAGGAACCGACCAGGGGCCATGCATAGACAAAAACAGAAATGATTAAGAGTACAACTACCCAGAAAACCCCATCACTCGCCCATGCAGCCATCTCGGGCTCGCGGGGCTCACGCTTCAGGGCTGTGTAGACACCAGGTTCACGTGGGAACCCAGGCTCTACGTCCCTGAAGAGCGGGAAGGACTCCAGAGCTGGGCTCCAGCCTTTTCTTTGCTCTGCAACCCTCTAGGGCTACGTCTAGACTGCAAGCCTCTTTCGAAAAAAGAGCTTCTAGACAAGCCGTATTGAAAGCACAGGAAGAAGCCACCCCAATGCACAGCAAGAAAAACAAATATGGTAGGCAACCAGATTGGCTTACCAGGGACATCCTTGGTGAGCTTAAACACAAAAAGGAAGCTTACAAGAAGTGGAAACTTGGATGGATGACTAGGAAAGAGTATACATATATTGCTCGAGAATGCAGGTGAGTTATCAGGAAGGCAAAAGCACAATTGGAATGGCAGCTAGCAAGGGATGTGAAGGATAACAAGAAAGGTTTCTACAGGCATGTTAGCTATATGAGGGTGATGAGAGATGGTGTGGGACCCTTACTGAATGAGGGACGTAACCTAGTGACAGATGATGCGGGAAAAGCTGAAGTACTCTATGCTTTCTTTGCCTCTGTCTTCACGGACAAGGTCACCTCCCAGACAAATGCTCTAGACAACGCAGCATGGGAAGGAGGTGGACAACCCTTGGTGGGAAAGAACAAGTTAGGAACTCTTTAGAAAAGCTAAACACACAAATCCATGGGCCGGATTTAATGCAGCCAAGGGTACTGAGGAAGTTGGCAAGTGTCGTTGTGGAGCCTTTGGCTATTATCTTTGAAAACTCATGGAGATTGGGAGAGATCCCGGATGACTGGAAAAGGCAAATGTAATGTCCATCTTTAAAAAAGGGAAGAAGGACAATCCAAGAACTACAGACCAGTCAGCCTTACCTTAGTCCCCAGAAAAATCATAGAGGGGATCCTTAAGTAATCCATTTTGAAGCACTTGGAAGAAGAAAAAGTGATTACTTCCATCTTTCTTTTGCATTAGGATAGTTGGCATTGTGCCTTTAATATAGTATTTTTAGGAAACTATCAGCTCATCTCAACCCCTTCATCCCTTAGGCGGGCATGTTCTTTCGGCATCCCTGTATTCCTCTCACTGAGAGGAATAAGGGATGTTCTGAAAAAGGATTTTTTTCCTGAATTTGGCCCCATCTATACGGGGACAAATTTCAGAAAAGCCTCTTTTGGAAAAAATCAGAAAAACGGTATGCAAATCGCGGTTCTCAATTTTTCCAACTTTTCTCGGAAGTGTAGACATAACCTCAGTATTTTCTTTCTGTGGGACCTTACATATAATTTCTTTGAAATTGTTAAAAAAAACCCTGATTTTTTAACCCCATGGTGACATCATTCCTATTTTTCCCCTTTTATTTTTGTGCAGCAATTTTTAACTGGACTGCCTCTCGCCTCTTTCTGGACCTCAGAAAAATTATGTTGTCTTAATGCATAGGGCAACACTGTCTCCCTTTCCTCTGCCCCTAGCCTGTCCTTCCTGAACAAGCTGTATCCTTTTTACTCTTCTATACCAGCCATGAGTTTTATCTCACTGAGTCTCCCTGCAGATGCCACTAAACTAGGGGGAGAGGTAGATACGCTGGAGGGCAGGGATAGGGTCCAGAATGACTGAGACAGATTAGAGGATTGGGCCAAAAGAAATCTGATGAGGTTCAACAAGGACAAGTGCAGAGTCCTGCTCTTGGGACAGAAGAATCCAAAGCATTGTTACAGGCTGGGGACCAAAAGGCTAAGTAGCGATTGTGCAGAAAAGGACCTGGGGATTACAGTGGATGAGAAGCTGGATATGAGTCAACAGTGTGCCCTTGAAGCCAAGTAGGCTAACAACATATTGGGGTGCACTGGGAGAAGCATTGCCAGCTGATTCAGAGAGGTGATTATTCCCCTTTATTTGGTTCTGGTAAGGCCACATCCAGAATATTGTGTCTAGTTCTGGGCCCTCCACTATAGAAAGGATATGGACACACTGGAGAGGGTCCAGCAGAGGGTGACCAAAATGATTAGGGGGCTGAAGCGCATGACCCCTGAGGAGAAACTGAAGGATTTGGGTTTGTTTAGTCTGCAGAAAAGAAGAGTGAGGGAGGATGTGACAGCAGCCTTCAACTTCCTGAAGGGAGGTTCCAAAGAGGATGGAGAGAGGCTGTTCTCAGTAGTGACAGATGGCAGAACAAGGAGCAATGGTCTTAAGTTACAGTGGAGGAGGTCTAGGTTGGATATTAGGAAAAACTATTTCACTAGGGCCGTGTCCAGACTCAGGGTTTTTTTCGAAAAAAGTAGCCTTTTTCACGAGGAAGAACACCTTTTTTCGAATGCAAACAGGGGTTTTTCGAAAGAGAGCATCCAGACTGCCTGGGTGCTTTCTTTCGAAAAAGCGGCTTGCTTATTTGAAAGTTCCGCTTGCAGTCTAGACGCTCTTTTTCGAAAAAAGTATCTTTCGAAAAAGCCTCTTTCGAAAGCCTAGGAGGGTGGTGAAGCACTGGAATGAGTTACTTAAGGAGGTGTTGGTTTTTAAGTCTCGGCTTGACGAAGCCCTGGCTGGATTGATTTAGTTGGGATTGGTCCTACCTAAAGCAGCGGGCTGGACTTGATGACCTCCTGAGGTCTCTTCCAGCTCAATGATTCTAATATTGAGACCAACAGCCAAGAAAGATTCAAACGTCAAAAAAATATATAAATTAGATATGTGGCAGTGTAAACGAGTAAACCATGAATCAATGAGCTCAGGCTCCTTTATGGATGGGGCAGGCAGCTCCTATCTGGGTTGATACAGAGGCAGCAGCACAAGAATCTGTGTGTCAGTCCAATGTTCTCCCCACTAGTCTATTCTCCCCCTCCCCTCCCCAGTCTGATCTACCTGGATTTATAAAGATAATGTGATGGATGGAAAGACTGCGAAAGAATATCCAAGCAAGGGATGAGAAAAAAGTTATTGGCTGGCAAGCATCCTCTTCTACAAGACCTGCACATTCACTTTCTACAGGAACCTCAAAATTCATTCTTCAAACGGAATGTTGTTATTGCCAGGAAACCATTCCTAAAGGGCTTTGTAGAAACATTGCTGAGGTATCTCAACACAACCGACTGCAAGGAACATACCGACATCCCCTGCGCCTCAGCCCTCTGGGTCTTTCTACTCTTCGCTTGTACGAGACGCCGGGCACCTGTCTTCGGGGGTTCACTAGGCTCGCGGGCAGCTCCTCGGCCAGCTCAGTCACAACACTGGCCGTTCACTCGCCCTCGCCTCGCCCTAGCTGGGAATATCGGCAGCGGGCGAGTGTTTCTGTCCCAACAGGGCCCCTCTTCCCTCGGCAGCTCGCGCCGGGTCCGCAAAGAAGCGCCCGGCCTCCCGCAGACGCGCCGCTCCCGATGCCTCCCGCCCGGCAAAAGCGGGGCGGAATATCCCTTGGGGAGCAGTGAAAGGCGGGGGACTAGGCCGCTGCCCAAGGGAGGCCCTACCTGCAGCTCCGGCCAGTGGCGCAGCACAGGGCGCTCTGGGGCTGTGGCTCACACGGCGCCAAATCCTACGTGAGCCGGAGACCGGGACGCGGGCCGGGCGCAGCAGGAGGCGCCGGCTCCGGCCCCGGCTGCGGCCCCAGGGTTGGGTTGT